GAGGTGGGGTGGGGAGCCCACAGGGATGGAGCATGGCTCTCCCCACAAGGCCAGGTCCTTCTTACTGTGCCCCCACCTAGCGCAGTGTCTCCTGAACAGGCCCAGGCAGAGGCCAGTTCATCCCATAGCTTCCCACCCAGTCCAGGACAGACCCCCAGCCACCCAGCCTCAAGGTATTCCTTGAGAAAGAAAAGGTCTCAGAACAGCTGACCAGTGGCCCAGGTTCGTGGACTGCAGGAGCTGGGGACATATCAATTACAGAGGGGGCTCTGGGAAATGGCTTTGCACCCAAAGGTCTCCAGGGAGAAAGGGTGATTACCTGCATTTAACTGTCCTCTTTCATTTCCAGTGTTGCTTGATCATTTAAAGCAAGGTCCCCAAAAGGATAATAGAGAAGAGAGAGAGCATGAGGCCCCTCCGTGTGGGCAACACTGCCCTTTGGGATATGCGATGCTTCCTTCTTCCCTTTGCCAGCCTCTGCCTGTTGACTGCCCTTTTCTCCCCTACACAGGTGTGTGAGTGTGTGAGTGTGTGTGTGTGTGTGTATGTGCACACATATAGGTATATATTATATTATATATCACAACATGTTATGGTTTAGATGTGAAGTGTCCCCAAAAGCTCATGTGGGACAATGCAAGAAGGTTCAGAGGAGAAATGATTGGGTCATATTCTTAACCTAATCTGTGAATTAACCCCTGATGGGATTGACTGAGGGGTAACTGGAGGCAGGTGGGGTGTGGCTGGAGGAAGTGGTTCATTGGGGATGTGGCTGGAGGAAGTGGTTAATTGGGGGCGTGGCTATGAGGTATCTATTTTGTATCTGGAGAGTGGTGTCCCTCTCTTTGCTTCTTAATCACCAAGACGTGTGCGACATCCCTCTGTCACACACTACACCATGATGTTCAGCCTCATCCTGAGCCCTGAGAAATGGAGCCAGCCTTCTGTGGACTAAGACCTCTGAAACCATGAGCCCTCAAATAAACTCTTTCTCCTCTACATTAGTCTGGTCAGATCCTTTAATCACAGCAGCAAAAAAAGCAGACTAAAACACCACCCAATGCAGCCCAACACAGTCTAACGCAAGGGGAATCCACACAATGCCTTGCATGGCACTACGGACATCAAGACCCTTGAGAATGGCTTTTTGGCAACATCAGTTTTACCAGCCCCACCATGATGAAATTCAGAAAGAAAAGGCTCCCTCCAAGACCCCTGCCCCCACTGCCATTTTCCCATCAGGTACCATATCCCATCAATGTTCCAAATATTTTTTGTGGATGCATGTTTTGCTCAGTTCTTAAACCCAAAAGCTCCTGGGTCACTTGAACAGCCAATCATCAACAGGCCCCAGAGGATGACTTCCATCCAGACGAGACCCACTCACTCTTGAGGATGGCAGGAGGGGCTCCTCCCAGTGCCATGGGCTCTTGGGCCTCCTTTCCTGAATCCGTTTCACCTCCTCATCTGCTCCTGTCCCAGGAGGAATGAGCATTCCTCCTTGGACCTCACTCATGCCCGTGCCTAGGTAGGGCCAGCAGGTGCATCCCTCACTCTGTGAGTTGCTGATTCCTAATTCTCCTGCTCTTTTATATCCCTGGACATTTAAAGAAAAAAATTCTCCCAAATTTTATTCCAAATGTTTTAATATTCATATATCTGTGGGCATTCAAGTCACCCACTCAGGTCCCCAAATCTGAATTTTGAATCACCCCAGCCATCCCCACCTCCCCTGAGTCACCCCCTATCTCCTCCAGTGGCTCCTACATCTTCCACTGGGCTCAGAGATGCATCTGCCTGCATCTCATCCCTCAGTAGACTTGTTCACTATTTCATCAGCAGACATTTGTTGAACAGGCACATCAGTTAGGAAGCAACTGTCAAAGTCCTTCAGGGTCTCACAATCAGGAGGGGAGAAGATAATAAACAAATAATAGTCAGGGAGTGACAACCATGAAAGAAAAATCCAGCCAGCTAAGGGTCTAGAGAGTGACTGAATGGGTAGCCTTTCGGGTGGTAAGGAGCTGACCAGGAAGGCCTCTCTGAAGGGCATACACTGGCCAAGAGTGAAGGACACCTCTCCCCACTGAAAAAAAAAATACCCTCAATTCTCCTGGCAATGAAAGGTAATAATAAATATTCCAAATCCTCATATTATGGTAGCACTTCATCATCACCAGATCATTCGCCCCTCACACCTCCATGGGCTATCAGCTGTACTTCAAAGATACTGACTGAAGCTGAGGCACAGAGAAGGGAAGGGACTGTCCCAAGGCCATTCAGAGAGAAGCCAGTGGCAGAGCTGAATTGGAACCCAGTCCTCCTCATTCCCAGCCAAGGGCTTCCTAAGAGAATGGATCGTGGTGGAAAATTCTGACCTCAGATATTTTGCTCAAGATTTCCATCTGAAGCACATCATCCCTGGCTGGAGACTTCTGCATTTATTTTTCCACCAGAAATGCTCTCCCCAAGGTAAAGAACTTCCTGAAGTAGAGAGGATGCTTGTTTCTTCTAAAACACTCTCAGTTGTTGACTGAAAAGGGTAAAGTCTTGGAGGATGAAAATGGGAATAAAAGGGAGAAGCAGGATGGAGCGTGAAATAAGAAAAGGAGAAGAAAGAGAACAGAAGGTGCAGAGAGAAAGCAAAAGAAGTCATGGGTGGGCGGGTGTGTGCAGAGGTAGGTACAGGAAATGACCTGGAAAAGCGTTTCCAGAGCTTTGCGATCTGTTCCTTGTATAACACATACGGGCTTCATTAATAAGAAAGTGTGTGTGTGTGTGTGTGTGTGTGTGTGTGTTTGTGTGTGTGTGTCCTGGAACATGTATTAATCATACTGGCGACAAGCAGATGAAATTGATGATTCCTGAAACTTCCTCTGAAATCAGCTGGATATGCCATGTACATGATGTTTCCTCAAACTGGAACCAATACACACATCCTCCATGGGCTAGTGTCCAGGATGCCTCCCTCTTGTGCTAACCCCCCACTCTGGGATATACCCCCAAACTCTCTTCTCCTTCTCTCCTGGAGGAGGGAGCTTTGTGTCATCTCCCCAACCAGCTTCTGCCAGGGAAAGCTTTTACTTCTCAACATTCACACTTTTCCAATAAACCTCTTTACTCCACTTTCTTCCTTCTGGTTCCTTTTCCCATGGGTTCTCCCATTGGAATTTCACTTTTACTCATACTTCATCCCAATCTTTCAGAGATAATCTTCAAATGGAGTGTACCCATGGAGAACCAGAGAGATACCATGACTTTCCAGAGGGATACCACGCAAGAATGATTTCAGGGAATGGTATTCCATGTCCTGAACATCCATAAATGCCCTGAAGTTTGGCACCTTGAGCCCGCCATGTTTGCTTTCCCACTTTTTCTTTCATGGCCACCATTTTCCTACCTAACAAAACATGGCACATTTCTTGTCCACCCAAATCTTGCTTTGGGGATTACCTGGGTGAGTAAAAACCTCTGGGATACCAAACAAAGGGACCGTTTGATAGTGCACAACTCCTGGAAGGAATCCCTTGAAATCAAAACTACAAATACTTTGGTAAGAACCTTATTTTATCCAGGAACCAATTAATGGCAGTACTCTGCACCTTTCATTGTGTGTCTATCTAGCTATCTGTGAATTAGAAATGGATAGCTTTCATAGAGATGCTTTTGAATAAAACTTTGTCAGATACTTTGCTAAAAAAAATATAAGGCACATCTGACTGATTTGATGATGAAAACCACTTTTGCCAAGGAGGATTTATACAACTGGAAATTTTCACAAACTGAATGAGTGAGTGCTAAGGTTAGGAGAGAAAATATATTTAAAGTGCAAACACAATATGCAGACATTACAGCATTTGCAACTATCAAACTTATAATTGAAATTTTCTAGGTGTTACAATAAATCATATTTTTGTTCCCAATTATTCACTACCTTCCTTACAAGTGACCCAACTTGGATCAGGCATGGCTGTATGACCTGCATTGGCTCATGGAAAATGAGGCATACTTGTACAAAGACTTGAAAAGTCACCACCTAATTCTGGCAGAGTTCTTTTCCTTTTCCTATAATTGGCATGTCCCAAACAATATGCTCCTTCAGCCTGGATCCTGGAAAACAAGTACATGTGTCACAGAGCCACAGACAATCTGTTGCCAAAGCACTGGATAAACAAAAACACTTTGTTTTTACACGTAACTAAGATTTGGGGTATGCTTGTTATAGCAGCATAATCTAGCAAAAGTTGACTAAAAATATCTGAGTGGGTAAAAAACTTTTCAATTTATTTAGAGAATGTGAGAACAAAAATTCTACAAATCTCCATTTTAGATCAATGACAATTTCCCATGAAATAAATCATCTTTCACTCATCCCATTCTTTATGCTTATTGATCAGATGTTGGTAGTGAGCACAGGAAATACAGAGGAAGGACAGAAACTGCCCGTTTTCAAGGAATTATAGTCTAATACAGCAAAAGTATGTATCACAGATGTCTCTGTCTGATTATCATGCCCATGGACAGGGGTCCAGAGAACAGAGGCCTCAAGGAGAAAGGAATATTATACACAAGTAAGGTAGGGGACACGGAGGAGAAATTACTGCAAGAGATCAAGTAGGAAAGGATATTTTATATAGAAACAGAGGCATTTTAAATCCACAGAGCTAGAAACATCTAGTATTGATGCAGTCCACTTCAGAAGCAGTGGAAAAAGGTAACACCTAAGGCAGACAGACCCTAGATCCCTGCCTTCTGGTGCTCTTGCCTTTGTGTACTACTCTTTTTTTGGTAGTGGGAAGGACCTATGGCTTACTGCTAACCAACATGAAGACATGTTGCCTCATGATTTCATTCCAATGCACAGGACATTTGAATGCCTGTCCTGGAGTCTCTCCTCCCCTTGCTGGCTGAGAAAGCAAGCCACCAGGAAGTAAGAGCAAATCCATGGTCCGGGCACTGCAGAGGCCGCCAGGAGCCTCAGGATGGCTTCAGACATTGCAACACAAAGCGACAAATTCTGCTAACAATCCAAGTGAACACATAGGTGGGTTCTTCCCTGACCATGAGACCACAGACCAGGCTGATAATTCAACTGCAGCTTATTGAGTCCTGGAAGCAGAGAACCAAGATCAGTTTGTTCCCAGACTCCTGACCCACAGAGACTGTGAGAAAATAAATGTGAATTGTGTTAAGTCACTAAATTCATGGTCATTTGTTACACGGCATTAGAAAACTAAAAGGCAGCCGGAGATGAGAAGAGAGAGGTTGTGCTAAGGAGCTCAGATTTTATTAAGTAGGTCGTGAGGAGCTCTCTCCAGGAGGAGCTCTCAACAAGGAAATGCTACAGAAGTTCAGTTTTCAGAAGATTGCTCTGACAACAAGCAGGGAGAGACTTCAAGGACAAGGCTGGAAGCCTCTCATCTTCCCCTAAGCCAGGAATACAAATGAGCATTTGACCTCAGACCAAGAAAAATCATGAAACATGTATTTATTGAACATCTACAGGAAGCTGTGGTCAGTGAAGAGGAAGACAGTAAGAATTACAGAGCATGGCCCCGGCCCTTAAAACACTGTGTCCAGTTGGGAAGCGAGGCTCAGAGGCAGACAAAGGTCAGTTGATTGGTTTTGTTTCATTTGATCTTATTCACTAACAATTTGATCGGTGGATGATACTTAAAAGAAGAAATGGATTAAAATCTCCTCCCACGGGTAAGGCAAGGAGGAATCCTGTGAGGAGAGAAGCTGAGGTCCATCTTGAAGGGTGGGAGGATTTGGATGAGCAAAGGGAGTAATGGAATGGCCTGCAGACAATTTCTTGGTGAGAAAAATACACAGAGAAAGCCTAGATCTGGGAACCTGGGGAAGGAAACCTGGAAAGGACTGAAATGAGACTGGGAAAACTTTGATTTTTCCCCTTCTTTGCCTCTAGTGCTGACCACATTTTATAAGGGCTACCCAAGAAGGCTTCATGGAAGAGGTAAGTGAGATGGTTCTGAAAGAGAGGAGGGCTTAGACCCGTGTCACGGAGCAGAGAGAATCTTTCTGTGGGGAGGAAGAGGAAGCCAGCGCATAGCAGTGAAATGGGGGACAGGGGCAAGACCCGCTTGTTAGAGGATATGAAGAAGTAGGGAAGAGAAAAGTCAGGTAGGACCAAATCTTTACTTCAAAAGTCTTAAAATCAGTGTCCTTTTGAGTTCAGATGTCCTAAGCACATCTATGATCACATCACTCCCTATTTATCCCCTTGTGTGATTTCCTACTTGGGATAAAACCAGAGCTCCCTCCCCTCAGGTACAGAGCACACCTGCCCATCTCTCTGCCTTCAACTCATAACCCACAGTCCCCAGCACTTGGCCCATCTCCTCAGAACACCCAGTTCCTTCTGTTCTCACCAGGCTCAGTGAATGGAGGAAGTAGAAGCACACTGGAGGCGAGACTTCCCTGAACTCACCCCCATTCAGGTCCTCCTTTGCCACTCACTGTCATGGCACCTGCCTGCTTTGTGGCACGTAGCACAGTTGGGACCACAGCCTGGGTGATGGGTGGCTGAGTGTCTGGGTGTGAGTAGAACACACAAGGCCTGGTCTGGTGGTCTACCGCCATGTTACCCAGGCCCAGCATGGTGTCTGGCTTGGAGCTGGCACTCAATAAACATGAGCCCAGTGAGTGGAAGGACCCCTGGCTCTACCCCCTGCTGGAGCGTAACCCAGTGTAGAGGTCAAGGACAAAGGCTTGAAGCTGTTGCTCCGTTCCCAGAGCATGAGAAGAAGCCACGTCTCTAAGGCTTCCTACTCACCCACTTGGGACAAAAGCGCCACCAGAGGCAAGTAGACACCACTAGTTGGCAGTAAGTTGAATGCTTTCAAGGCCAATCCTCAAAGCAAGGTGAGGAGAATCACAGGACAGCAAAACTGTGGCCACTTCTAGCAATTTATTATTCTCAAAAAAGCAGAGTGAAAAAGAAAGGAACAGGATCTGGCCGGCACCCCTGCTCTCCCCGTAGCTGCAGATGCTTTTACTGGCAAGTTCTCAGAACAAACTTATGGGTTTGTGTTTCTTAAATCACCATTGATAGATAAGAAACCAAGAGATTTTGATATGCCTAAGGTCACGTGGCAAATTAGCAGTGGAACTAAGGTTCAAACTCAAAACCACGGGAGAGTCAACATATTTATTGAACAAGCATTGTTCGGATGTGAGCTCTTGGGTTTCATCTGGTGACTTCATTCCAATTGTATGTAGACTGAGAGAAACCTCAGTCTGGCAGAGGGCTTAATAATTAGAATATAAGAGGATTTAGGACTCGCTGGGGTTGGTGCCAAACTCGGTACTGAGGACAGTGAGTTAAGAGGAAATGAGTGCCTGAGAAAGGTGACCTTCTTCAGAGAGGGAGGTGGGGAAAGGACAGCACTGGAAAGACTCAGCCAGGATGCTGGACGTCCCAGGAGGTCCCTGCGCAGGGGAAAGCAGGTCAATGGCTGGTGCTTTTAGAAACTGAGAAGAATGGTTTAAAAGTGGGGTGTGGTGGTGCATGCCTATAATACCAGCTACTGGAGAGGCTGTGACCGGAGGATCACAGGTTCAAGGCTAACTTGGGCAAATTATCGAGACTCTCTCAAAACAAAAAATAAAAAGGGTTGGGGATGTAGCTCAGTGACAGAGTACTTGCCTAGCGTGTAAGGCCCAGGGTTCCATCCCCAATGCTGAAGGAAAAAAATGGGGCCACTCAACTGGGTTTGAATCCTGGCTCTAGTACTTCCTCTCTGGGTGACCTCAGGAAAGTGACTTGGTCCAGTTAAGTAGTTCCTTCCCCCATGGCATTGTTACACAAATTAAAGGGGACAATTCAAATAAAGCAGGGTGGTCAGATTGAACCCACTCCATGTCTCTGGGAATAAAGCAGAAGCAGAACACAGAAGCACGCATTCATTTATGAGTGCACTGTCTTCACGCTACCATGAGGAAGTTGGGGGCTACAGGGAGAACTTATGGCCGGCCAAACTGAAAATACTTACTATTTGTCCTTTCAGACCTTTGATGTAAAGCATTTAGTACACACATCCATTGAGTAAAATACAGTCAGTACACAGCCTCGTGTGCTCAATAAATTCAGATGGTCCCGATTTTATAATCTTTCAACTTTATGGTGGTGCAATAATGATACACATTCAGTAGAAACCGTAGTTTGAATTTTGAATGTGGGTCTTTTCCCAGGCTAGTGATATATGGCATGAGGCTCTCTTGATGAGCTGTGCAGTCTCTGGGAGCCGCAGCTTCCAGTCAGCCCTGCCATCACGAGGGGAAACCAACGGTACTCCGCGGTACAGCATTGCTAAGCTAGGATGTTTAGTAAGGTAGGAGCACTAAATGATCTTTAGCTTATGATATTTTCATCTTATTTCTTATCAGGACAGAGTCCCATCATAAATCAAGAACATCTATATCATCTCTTATCATCTAATCCCTCTTCTCATGAGACTTGTCCAGGACTGCTAAGTAAGGTGGTAGAAAAAGAAACAGGGTTCAATAAAGAGAGTTTTGCAGGAAACCTGATCCTAGAGAAGTGCATGTCCAACTCACTTCAAGGAAATCTGCACATCAAATCCCATGTCTTATGAGTTGAGCTGAATACAGAAGCAAAACTGACTAATCAAGAATAAAAAGGCTACAGATGGTAACTTGCCTAATGTGTGTTTATTTTCTTATTAAGAAAAATCAGAAGGAGAGACTTGGAGAAAAAGTTTTCCAGAAAGGATGCTTGATAGCAAGCCATTATCTGAATTAAGTTTGGGAACTGTCTAATCTTTGCAGTCCATGATTTACATGCCAGTGAAGTAGATTGAAAACTTTTTACGGAGAGGTTTGTAACCCAACAAACACCATCTAAAATGTAAATAATGATAACAGGCACAGTTGGGTCAATCATACCTTTGTTCAATCAAATAACAATCTGGGGGTAGAGAGGGAGGTAGTTGTTGAATATCAGAAGTTCTTAAGCAAGACTGAAGTTTTAGCATAAAGTAGCAAAAAAAAATCTTTTTTACTCGTTGGTTTTGTTTTGCTTTTTGCTCGCAGAGGACAGGGCTGGCAAATACTGATTATGTAGATACTGATCACCTGGCTTCCACATCACTATCCATGGCAGACATTACTAGTTGATTACGGCACATTTTTCTCCCTGATTCCAGACTGCTTCAGAAGTCTCTGGACTCTCATGCTCTATGAATCTACCAGGTGGCATTCAAGATGAAATAAAATTGTCATTCCCTAGATCCATGGCACATGGTGGATTTTTTAAGTTTTAATTAAATGATGAATAAATAATTGAATTAATGAATGGATGAATAGGGATGTGATTCAACAGTGGACCTTTCTAGATGCACCTGACTGATTGCAGCAGCAAAACTTGTTTGTTTATTCAATAAATCGTAATGGCATTAGTCAGGATCCCAGCAGGATATAGACCATGAAGGAAACAGATCAGCTCAAATGGAGTCATTTTGTGAGTTTAATGAAGAGATTATTAAAAAGGACTGTGCAGAACCCTGGGACTAGAGATGAAGGGAGCCACCATGTTCCACGGAGTCTGGCAGGAGATGTGGCTTCAGTGGAGGGTCCCAGCTGACTTAAATGATGATTTGCTCCCGGTGCCTATGTTAGCTGTGTTCAAAGGGAAGCAGAGGGCAGGGGAGCCCATGGACAAGGCTCACAGGAGCCAGTTCAGGGAGCAGCACAGGGTGGGCAGGGGCAGGTGTGGATCTGGAGGGGCAAACAAAGATGCCCAATAGTGTCGTGTGAGACCCGCTCTAGACACGAAGGCACAGCAGTGAGCAAGACAAGGGCATGCTCATAAGACGCTTGAGGTCTAACAAGAGAAACACTAAACCAATTACAGTGTTAAAATAAGATGATTTCACACATATGAGAAAACCCAAAGCTGGTGGTATTTGTTTCTATTGCCTTTTCCTAAATTAAAAAATGAACCATCACTAACAGATAATACCCATGCCAGGAGAGAACACTCTGCCTAATCGACTGTTTACTCTTTAAAAAGAAACTAGGCTCTGTTTTCCTATCATCTTTTTATCACATGCTTGTTTCCAAAGTCAGCCTCCCTTTGATAGTTGGAGAAAACAGATTTTTCTGGTTTTGGAATGGGAGACTTGTTTAATCCTGGTTTCTGCAATCTTGGTAAATCAGGGAGAGAGATATGTCCAGTGGGCAACACAAGAATGCTTTATTTGCGTAAGAAAAAGAAAATAATATTTTTTTTCTAAGTTGCAGGAAGACAGTCTTGACAATACTTTGGTGTTTAACATCCATCATCTCAAGAGACATTTTATTTCCGATCTGTTCTGGATTCTATCCAATGAGGACCATGACGTTTCTATTCACCAAGAATCTTTCAAGGTTTTTCCTGTAGGATAGACCTTAAAGGTTATTTAAAAAAAAAAAGGTATACTGGGCCAGGGGCTTTGAAGATTCTCTAAAAGGGACCCGATGGAGGGGTTGGCGAGTGGCTGGCAGGGTGTGGGGGTGAGATGGGGAGAGATTCTCTCTTTATTCTGGAGTGTTTATTACCAGGACACCAAGTCCTGATCCCAGAATCAACCAAGCTCTGTCTTAAGTTAGGAAAATCGAGAAGGTCTGGCTAGACTTCAGAAAAACACACAAGCAAATGCACAATGTGATAGGTTCACAATATTAAATTAAGTATTCAGCAATCAAACTCTTAAAACACATTCCAGAACAATGAAAGGAGAGAGAGAGAAAGAGAGAGATAAAGATCCCAAACCAGCTGAGCCAGTATTTAAAGCCTTTTTAATTTCACAGAACCCATTTTTTTTTTTTATGGCATCCAGGATCTGCTGCTGGCTTTTCGAACGGTCACATGATCTCTTGTCCAGATGTGAGGGTGTATATCTGGGACCTGACCAGCCAAAAACCGCAGCACTTTCCTTCAGCTCGTAGCTTGTTACTGTAACTCAACCGTATTCCTCTCTGCTACAGAAGCCCCACATTAATATGTGGTACAACAACAATAACACAGGAGGGGATAAAGTTAACCAAAACATTCGCAGGAATCTGGAAAAGAGGAGAGGCCGGGGCGGGGCCGGAGGGGAGCGAGGGAAAGCCCGCTCAGATAGGTTTATTTGTCAGCTCCACACAACACTGAAAATGAAACCTCCAAGTGCGTGGTGGTCTGAAAACTTCCCTTTTTCTCACCTACTGTGAACAGCTTTTACCCGGGACAAGACTTCCTGGAGCTTTCTTCAGGAAATTAGCAAATGCCTCTGTTTGGAACATCAGGTTGCAGGAACCCACAGCAAGGCCAGAAAGTGCCTCAAGAACCACAGAGTGCAGGGCTTCTCCTTCAAAGAAATTTCTGGAAGCCCAGACCTTGACCACAGAGGGGGTGGGGAAGGGGGGGGGGAAGCTGCAAGGAGGCAACCGCGGGCCCGCCCGCCTGCCTTTGTGCCTTTGCCAGTGACCTTTGGGGGACTAACCCGTCAAGCTGCTCAGACAGCTCCTGGCATTCAATTAAATTCGTTAAGCCTTGGTTTCTTCATGTGTGAAGTGGAGATAATAATAGAACCTGCCTGAAGGCGATGCACCAGGATTAGACAGAAAGCACCCAGCATAGAGGGTGCTTCCATTCCTCCTGAATCCACAAATATTGACTGAGCACCTACTATGCACCATCTGTTTTAGAGGCCTGGCAGACTTCTGTGAACAAAACAAAGATCCTGACCACAGGTCATTGGTATAGAGAGGAACAGTAAATAAGCCAGCGAATTAGCATGCACGAAGGAGACAGGTGCTCTGGCAGAAAGAACAGTCTTCTGGGGTACCCGAGGCATGTGGGGAGCATGTGTCCTTCAAGAAAGCGATAAAGACAGGCCCTAACGGGATGGTGGACTTTAAAAGTAATTAAATAAATGAATGTTATTTCTAATCTCAATGCACAAAGCATTAGCTGGTTCTTCTACCCTATTTCTAACTCTAGCTGTTGAGAACAAGTGACTTCATTTGACAGAATGGATGTTTGTGGACAGATAGTTCTGACTGAGAACCCCTTTCCTGCTGGGCCAACCTCGGATTGGCTGGCCAAGGAGGTGGAGCAAGTCACCCCTGTGGAGTGCCCATCATGTCGCTGGCTCCAGCTGGCTTATGTGTGTTTTCTCTCACGGTTAAAGCAGAGTGGTTAAGATGAGCAGAGCCCCCAGGTCCCCTTCATGACATCAAGACTGTCCTCTAAAGGGGTATCAGAGGAGGGAGCCCGAGATGTATTGAGGGGAGGTCACATATTCTTTCTGCCTAACTCACCCTCTTGCAGGCCCCCAGAGCAGATGCCTCCTTCCAGGCCCTTACCCGACCTCGTCCACATTCAGGAGGACACTCTTCCCTCTTCTCCTGAGTGTCAATCCTTCCAAATCCTCGGTGCTCTGCTCGGTGTGACTTCAGCTCCAGTGGTGAGAGGGGAGATTTATTTCCATAACTTTCTGTGGAGAGCGCCTCACAGAAGACACATTGTTCCCAGTGAGATTTTTACCAGGGCTTTTGGAAAAGGCAAGAAATCTCCTCCCCAGGAATAATGTCGCATTTCTTTGAAGTCATGGACTCTGAAAAAGGAATAAAGAAAAAAAAATGGCAATCATTTCCTTAAGTGGTACGCAGGTATCTGTATGATGTGTAGATTTCATGTGGGGATGTCAAGGAATACATACACACGGTAGGTCACATTATCTCAGAGTCGGAAGGGCGATTGCAGCAAGATTTCTCTTCTCCCCCTAAAGCACTGTGAACTGTGCCTGCAGGAAGTATATCCTGGGTCACAGCCTGGGGCAAACCCCTTCCAGGCTGCGTCAGTCCGTCTGCTCAGATTCTGCAGAGGGTACCTGACAATGCCCGGATCTTAATTCACAGCCTAAAGGTGATACTTGGGTTCATTTTAAAGCATTTCATTTAGTTTAAGATGGATTTAAAGGCAAAGAAGTTAATAAACCCTGACTGAGTTTTAGCAGAGTTTCCTGTCTCCAGTGGCTCATAGGAATCTTTTGGAACACAGTGTTTTTAATTCATACCTTTAGAGTCTTCGCCACCGAGTATTCCAGCGTTTACTCTGCTAGGTTCATTTTTGTGGCAGCAAGAAATAGTCCATTAAAATAACGAAAATGGGTGGCAAGAAGGCTCATGTATAATTTCCCCCTGATAATATCTGAAGTATAAATTACTTTCCTCTCCTCCCCATAGGCATAATCTGATTTTTTTAATTGAGCCTTTTGATTCTTCTTGCTGTAAGAATGTGATGGAGTTGAAAGAATCGTGGTCTGGGAAACATGGTCCTCTCTGGTTCTGACACCAACTGCCTGATTCCTTTCGGGTGGGTTGTTTATCTTTCTAGCTTCAAATTGCTCTTCCATGAAAGGCCAGACTGTCCCAGGAAATCCTGAAAATCCCGTGTTTTCGAAAGAGGGCATTAAAATTATGGAAGGAGTGTGCTTCAGTTATCAGAGATGAGCATTTGATCCACAGCTCAGCCATTTCCTAAGCAGGTGACCATGGGCTTGGGTCTGTTTCAGAACAGTCATTGGTGACATTTATTGGGAAAATGAATTGAAATAACATATGTGTCAGGGACACACATTGGCAAAACAGACATGATTAAATATTCATTTTCA